CTTCTAATTTCCGTTGTCAGTGCAGGTTTTTTTGTTTTGTTTTGTTTTGTTTTTTAGCTTAGGCTACTGATCATTATGGATTAGTGTAGCCTGCATTAAGAAGTCTTGAACATAAAACAACAGGATAAAAATATAGTTGATGAATAGACATAATCACTTCATGACTTTAGACACGTCTTTGTGAAGACAGTGGCATAATACAATGAAATATTACGTTCTTTAGCCATATAAATACAGTTGTTATGTGTGTGGGTAAAATTGACCCGCTGGCGCTTTTAAGTATACAGCGACCTCTGGCGGTTCTAGTGTTAAATGAGAATTCAGATAAGCTGTTGGACAGGGGCCGGGCTAGGGCCTAGATTTGAGGCCCGTGCAGGGCTCTACTCTGTACAGGAGAGACTTCTTGTTTACAAACAAAAGGAAATATATTGGCATTGGTATCGGCCAAAATGAGTTGAAAAATATTGGATATCGGCAAAAATCCAATATTGTACATTCCTAATATATATATATATCAGTGGCGTTCCGTCCATATAAGCTGCGAATGCTCCGCATACCCAGGCCATTTGAGAGAATAAGTTCATGGGATAATTCATATAAACATGATTATAAGTTGATCCCTTGTCATTTGAAATGTAACTTAAAGCCTAAAGAGTTAGGAATAAGTATGTAAAATTATTTATTTGCCAAACGGCAGTAATCTTCTGTAAATCTACCAGTTGCGGTTGCTTCCGGGCGAGCGGATTCTCCGCAGCTTTCTCGCCTCCGCTCTGTTGCTCTGAGTCGTCAGGATTGCAGCGAGTTCTCAGTGATGTGCTGGTCTGCGGATGATTTCATGCGCGAGGTAAGCTGTCCGAGAAGTGCTCGCCCAAGCGGAAAAATGTGCTGCTGCTGTCAGATCTCGATTGCAGAGAATCACATTGTGTTTGATGCTGAACCAACTCGACTAAATCAAAAGAAAAAAAACACTATGACTGTATATTTCTATGTTTTCTCAAGCAAAAAAATTGTTAAAGTCCACTGAAAACGTATCTTCTTACATGTTTGGTCATAGACAACGTATGTTGAAGATATCGTTATTGTCAACGTTATTGCCTAAGCAGTACATTTTTTTTTTTTTATAAAAACGTGGGCTATATAAAATTTTAACAATAACAAACATCATAATGTTCCCTTTGCTTTGTGTATGCTCGTGTCGCTTACAGTTACAGTCCTTTTCTGATTTTATTGTTGTTTGCAAGGTTGCAACGTTACTTTGCGGTATTTTGAATATTTTTGGTATTGTGCATGGTCTGTTATTGGAGTAGTGTCACCCGGGGGGAGGTTTAACTCCTATTCACTGGGAATAAACGAATCATTTAGCTGATGCAGAGAGACATATAGAGCGGGGGAATCCCCCCATCTCCCCACCCTCTGATTACATATCATAACGTAACTACGTGCAAACCTTATTTGGCGTTTTTTTTTTCTTGGAAAACCAGCTAGATTTTTCTAGCATTTGAATAACAATGGATAAACCTTAAATGATAGAAGAAGGAATGGAGATGAATTTCATTTACAAATAAGGTAGTAAATGTACATACATTTAAATCGACACCTGCTACAGTGTTTCTTAGGTATCTGTCATCTGTGATCCCTTTTGAGTGTCCTAAAAGCCGATGGGGGGGGGGCTTATCACTCAGCATACCTGGTTAAAAAAGTCACCGCTGGCCACTCACAAATAACACCCGTCTACAGTTATACTCCTCAAACACGGGAGGAGGTACCATGCTTGAATCAACGTGGATTATGTTTCGATTTTGAAAATTGGATCAACGGTGATATTGTGATGTTGTTTTACCGTCTTACCTCCAGCATGGGTACGTACACAACTGTACGTTCAATTAGAACCTAGTTTGCATTTAGATAAACACTGTACATTATAAAGGTTAAAAATCAAATGACTGGCAGCAGGGTCGCCGCTAGCAATTTTGGGCCCTATGAAAGAATACGAGGTTGGGCCCCCTACCGCACCAAACATACACTATACGGACAAAAGTATTAGGACACCCCTTCTGAAGAGCAGGTTTGACTACTTTAGTAGTATTTCCATGAGTACAGATCTTAATGTTTAAGCATATAATTTATTCTAGGGAATTGTGTGCTTCTAGTTTTATAGCAACAGTTCTGACAGGACCCTTTTCTATTCTAACATGACAATGCCTCTCTGTATAAGACAAGGTTCAAAAAGAAATGATTGAGTCAGTGTGGAAGAACTTGACCGGTCTGCTGGGACTTTAAATGCAGACCTCGAGCCAAAAACTCTTCACCAGACACCAGTGACTTGTACATATGCGTACAATAATTTCCAAAACTGTGGTAACAAAGATGGAAACATAATTCATGTATTTAAAAGTTGTATTTCCATCTCTGTTGCAACAGTTTTGGAAGCGTCTAAAATGACTGTACCTATATATACAAGACACAGGTGTTTGGTGAAGAGTTTTTGGCTCGAGGTCTGCATTTAAAGTCCCAGCAGACCGGTCAAGTTCTTCCACACTGACTCAATCATTTCTTTTTGAACCTTGTCTTATACAGAGAGGCATTGTCATGTTAGAATAGAAAAGGGTCCTGTCAGAACTGTTGCTATAAAACTAGAAGCACACAATTCCCTAGAATAAATTATATGCTTAAACTAGGGATGCACGATATTATCGGACCAACATCGAAATCTGCCGATAATGGCTTTAAATGTAAATATTGGATATGAAAAATGTTGCCGATATGTCTTGCTGATAAGAGATTAGATCAGGTCAGCAGTGTGGCTCATTCCTGAAGCAAAGTTTAGCCTGAATGCTGATTAGATTCAGTGTGTTGGATGGCTGCTTTTAATCTGTGAAGCAGTACAGAATGATGCGTCTGGCGTATGAAAGAGTAAACAGTAACAGCACGAGCAGTGGGTCCTAGAGCCCGCTCAGGAAGGAGTTTCAATCTGTAGGGGGCGCTGGTGGCCTACTTCTAATAAAATGAAAGCAAAATACACAAATAACATTTAGACTGTGTTTCTGATTAAATAAAGCAGTAATTGATGTCATAAAATAATAAGTATGTTTTGATTTAAAGGTCAGGAGCTATAGTTACATGAACAAAAAAAATCACAAACATGACACTTAAATTAAATAATTATATATATATATAGTGTGCTGTAATCCTGAAGTAGACTTAAACGCCTAATCAAATGAGTTCGTGGGATGATTTCAAAAGCCGGACATTTTCAGAGACAGAGAAGACCAATTCTGATGATTACTGTGCACAGAATTGTCCAAACTCAACGTAACGTAACGTAACACAACCCGATCTGAGAAAGCGTGGCTGGTACTCATACGTGATTCAGTGTTTGTGAGAGCTGATGAATCAGAGCAGAATATGCTAGCTGTTCTGTGTCATCATTCCACTGTAGCCTAATGCCAAAATATTCATATTCAAAGTAGTCGCACTGTCAACCTGTTTCTGTTAAACATGATTGAAATGTTGCAGTTACCGCACACTCATTCAGAGTAAGAGCACCAACGCACACAAACAATACACATTAGCCGTGTTTCACTACGAATAACACCACGAAAGCAACTGCACTTCAACCATGTAACCACAAACTGACCGTAACTCTGGCAGGCTCTTAGTAAAAGTGTTCTTATACACACTGTAAACACCACGGCATTTCTACGAGGGTGCTATCAGTCAAACTCACTTAATACTGTGCCCTCGACCGGTGAGACTATGAGAAACAAGCGGCAGGCTGTGTGTGGATTATCCAGAAAGCACTTCTGGACGGAAATATATTTATAGGAACATTTCAGCAGGTTGGAGATGATTCACGTTAACGCAGAGAATGTGAGGAATCCTAAAATGTAGCAATAATCTGCGTTCTGATGAGAAACGGACCGCTAGCCGGACAGTATCGGTACATCGGTACTGTGTTCTGCTCCTCTGAACACGCCGTGCTGCACAGAGCCGATCACAGAGAGCGCCCTCACACGGGGCCCCGCGCTGCACTTCAACCATGTAACCACAAACTGACCGTAACTCTGGCAGGCTCTTAGTAAAAGTGTTCTTATACACACTGTAAACACCACGGCATTTCTACGAGGGTGCTATCAGTCAAACTCACTTAATACTGTGCCCTCGACCGGTGAGACTATGAGAAACAAGCGGCAGGCTGTGTGTGGATTATCCAGAAAGCACTTCTGGACGGAAATATATTTATAGGAACATTTCAGCAGGTTGGAGATGATTCACGTTAACGCAGAGAATGTGAGGAATCCTAAAATGTAGCAATAATCTGCGTTCTGATGAGAAACGGACCGCTAGCCGGACAGTATCGGTATATCGGTACTGTGTTCTGCTCCTCTGAACACGCCGTGCTGCACAGAGCCGATCACAGAGAGCGCCCTCACACGGGGCTCCCTGGACAATGCTCATCACAGCGTTATCATCATTATATAATATCACAGCTTGTGCAATAACAGTTATTTAAATTGAGCGTTGAAAGATAACACTGATCATGTTCTATTCTGTAATGTTAATAGAATCATACACTGTCAGAATAAAAAGGTTGCATTTTATGCATGTAACAGCCTGTTACTTTTTACTAAAGTGTAGTGTAACTGTAGTATTTATAGATTTGAATCATGTGCAAACAAGAATATAACCTAATAAGTTACAATTAAGGCGTATTGAATGTTAAAATGTGTTTTAAACAAAGTTACGTGCTTATCATTACCCATTTTACTCTCAGTAATTTAATAATTTAATACATTTCATAATTTAAAAGTTTGGTTCAGAAGCATCGGTATGAAAAATATCGATATCGTATCGAAACCAAAATAAGTGTTAGCCTAACCGGAAACTCCCGAGCCGTATTCAGTAGAACGCGGAAGTAGTTGTGCGAGTAGTCCATAAGATCACGTAGCAGCTTGAGCACGACCTAATTAATATTCATGAGCTATCTTCTCGCGACGCCCGAGAAGTCTCGCAGAGTCTCGCGAGAGGCGCTCACTTGTACGGCCGCCATATTGTGTGACACTATTTTGATTGTTATCTGCTGGAAGAGAGAAAGCCAGAGAGACGCTACGCGGGAGCCGAGGGGGCCGCAGAAGAGCTGTGAGAAGAGAAGAGAGCGAGCGGAGACGGGCTGCTGCTGTCCGCAGATCCGCGGCGCTGACACGGTGAGAAACGCGCTTCAGAGCAGGCCTCCCGAGAGATCTGCGCGGCTTCTGCGTGTGTGTGACCCGGTGGCTCCGGGCGCGTCGCGTCGCGTCTGTCTTCCGCGCAGCGTCTAGCGCTAGTCGTGATCGAGCTCGGGAGGCTGAGGGTGTCGCGTTTGCTCTGACAGCTGCTCCTAAAGCGCTTGAAGCTGGAGCTGATCAGGCCTCGAGCTCTGCCCGTCGCGGCCCGCTGAAGAAGAACGTTACTGTCGCTTTCACGAGTCCAGAACACACACACACTCACTCACTCACTCACTCACACACACTCTCACTCACTCACTCACTCACACACACTCTCACTCACTCACTCACTCACACACACTCTCACTCACTCACTCACTCACACACACTCTCACTCACTCACTCACTCACACACACTCTCACTCACTCACTCACTCACACACACTCTCACTCACTCACTCACTCACACACACTCTCACTCACTCACTCACTCACACACACTCTCACTCACTCACTCACTCACACACACTCTCACTCACTCACTCACTCACACACACTCTCACTCACTCACTCACTCACACACACTCTCACTCACTCACTCACTCACACACACTCTCACTCACTCACTCACTCACACACACTCTCACTCACTCACTCACTCACACACACTCTCACTCACTCACTCACTCACACACACTCTCACTCACTCACTCACTCACACACACTCTCACTCACTCACTCACTCACACACACTCTCACTCACTCACTCACTCACACACACTCTCACTCACTCACTCACTCACACACACTCTCACTCACTCACTCACTCACACACACTCTCACTCACTCACTCACTCACACACACTCTCACTCACTCACTCACTCACACACACTCTCACTCACTCACTCACTCACACACACTCTCACTCACTCACTCACTCACACACACTCTCACTCACTCACTCACTCACACACACTCTCACTCACTCACTCACTCACACACACTCTCACTCACTCACTCACTCACACACACTCTCACTCACTCACTCACTCACACACACTCTCACTCACTCACTCACTCACACACACTCTCACTCACTCACTCACTCACACACACTCTCACTCACTCACTCACTCACACACACTCTCACTCACTCACTCACTCACACACACTCTCACTCACTCACTCACTCACACACACTCTCACTCACTCACTCACTCACACACACTCTCACTCACTCACTCACTCACACACACTCTCACTCACTCACTCACTCACACACACTCTCACTCACTCACTCACTCACACACACTCTCACTCACTCACTCACTCACACACACTCTCACTCACTCACTCACTCACACACACTCTCACTCACTCACTCACTCACACACACTCTCACTCACTCACTCACTCACACACACTCTCACTCACTCACTCACTCACACACACTCTCACTCACTCACTCACTCACACACACTCTCACTCACTCACTCACTCACACACACTCTCACTCACTCACTCACTCACACACACTCTCACTCACTCACTCACTCACACACACTCTCACTCACTCACTCACTCACACACACTCTCACTCACTCACTCACTCACACACACTCTCACTCACTCACTCACTCACACACACTCTCACTCACTCACTCACTCACACACACTCTCACTCACTCACTCACTCACACACACTCTCACTCACTCACTCACTCACACACACTCTCACTCACTCACTCACTCACACACACTCTCACTCACTCACTCACTCACACACACTCTCACTCACTCACTCACTCACACACACTCTCACTCACTCACTCACTCACACACACTCTCACTCACTCACTCACTCACACACACTCTCACTCACTCACTCACTCACACACACTCTCACTCACTCACTCACTCACACACACTCTCACTCACTCACTCACTCACACACACTCTCACTCACTCACTCACTCACACACACTCTCACTCACTCACTCACTCACACACACTCTCACTCACTCACTCACTCACACACACTCTCACTCACTCACTCACTCACACACACTCTCACTCACTCACTCACTCACACACACTCTCACTCACTCACTCACTCACACACACTCTCACTCACTCACTCACTCACACACACTCTCACTCACTCACTCACTCACACACACTCTCACTCACTCACTCACTCACACACACTCTCACTCACTCACTCACTCACACACACTCTCACTCACTCACTCACTCACACACACTCTCACTCACTCACTCACTCACACACACTCTCACTCACTCACTCACTCACACACACTCTCACTCACTCACTCACTCACACACACTCTCACTCACTCACTCACTCACACACACTCTCACTCACTCACTCACTCACACACACTCTCACTCACTCACTCACTCACACACACTCTCACTCACTCACTCACTCACACACACTCTCACTCACTCACTCACTCACACACACTCTCACTCACTCACTCACTCACACACACTCTCACTCACTCACTCACTCACACACACTCTCACTCACTCACTCACTCACACACACTCTCACTCACTCACTCACTCACACACACTCTCACTCTCTCACACACTCACTCACTCTCTCTCTCACACACTCTCTCTCACACTCACTCACTCACACGACACACACACACACACTCACACTCACACACGCACGTCTGAACTGAGCGCGCACCTAAGCTATAGTGGTGATGATGAGGTGTCAGAAGTGATGAGAGCAGCACTGTCTCTGCTCGGATATACTGAGTGTGGTCTGCAGTTTAGTCTACATTCCAGCAACATAGATGCACTAGCCACGCATTGCGCTCTTACAGTTACAGTGAGCAGCAGAATAGTGCATGTACAGTATCCTCCTGTCTTCTGTCCAGTTTCTCAGTAAGCACAGCGAGGGTAATGAAGCGGTGAAGTAGGGCTGTGTGGTTTCTCTGATAAAGCAGCTGTTGCTATAGTAGACCGTAGCCACCTGAAGAAACACATACTGTGGAAGTCAGTGGCCCCACATGAAGTAACAAACACACACATATAATCAACCCGGGTGGCTGTAAAGTAGTAGCGGTAGTAGTAATAATAGTCAGAGGAGAGAGCACTCAGGATTTAGATAAGCCCTGCCAAACTAAGCTTATCACACCAACGCTTCACTGATAACGCTTCACAGTTCCTGATTCTGACTCTTAGAGCTTAAGCAATACAATGTTCAAACATTATTAAAGAAGCAAGCAGTCAGTAATCAAATAAGCAATGGCAAGAGAGACCACGAATAAACAATATAACAAATGTACTAATAAAGAAGTTTTCCCGATAGCTCGATCAATAATATTTAGGTAAGACACTACTGAAATGAAGTAACCGGATGTAAAAGAATACTGTGTAGTCTCCACTATATAAACTAACTTCTGACACCGTTGTGTGTGTTTGTGGGCTCAGTCAGGTTTAGACCGAGCGTGTGCGCTGTCTCAGAAGAGCTTCGGCGAGCAGACAGAGCTAGGCCTGCTCATTATCACGCTTATTCAGCGGTCAGACGAACACAACTTTATACCGAAGATTTCTTTAATATATATCAAGTATATATTTTCTGTAAATAAGGTCACAATGACATCTACATTTTAGAGACCAGCGAAATGTCACAATTCTCAACACCGCAGCAGAGTACTAGAGTAACTATGTTAGTTAAAACAACAACAACAAAACGTCCTCAATTAGTGAAAATAATTAAACTGTACTAAAAAGCAAAGTAATACAATAGAATAAATAAGACACAAATGAAACCGACTGTGCTTTAAGTTTTTAGTGCAAGTGTAAAGTATTCAGTTAACAGCCCACTAGATAAACTGAATAACAACACAGTCTAGTCTTCACTGTAAGATTAAACTTCCTTTGTCACAAAAGCTACAAAAGTCAAGAGCAGGGAGATATTTTGTATTTGTGGTTTGATTAATATCAAGCACACAGTCGCAGCAGGAATATTAGGCTACTGTCACTTTAAGAGCTGCACGGATCCAATTTACTGTTACATGCGTGTTTTCATTCTCAACGCTTTACGTTCATTTATTACATAACCGGCGAGGGTTTACGTGAATAATCACTAATCTCCACATTTCTGCGTGTAATTGAGCGATTAATTGGCGCTAAAAGTTGTTCTGATTTTGAGCGCATACACAGTAATCCTCCCGAGGAACAGCGCAAGCTCTCTTTCACGCTTTCAAAAACATGAATGAATCTAATATACTATACACGTCCCATTTTGCGAGGGTCTCGTGACTGATTTGCGCATGAAATTGGGCTTTTATGGAGGAGCGTAAGAGCACCGCTGGCGATCTCGATTGCTGTGTTTTCATAATCGGTGGAGGCCGAAATTGAAACTTTTGGCTGCCAGTACGGCTTAAAATTATTTATAGGGTTCTTGTTTTCATTTTTATGGCCCTTCACAATTTAGCCCCTGGGTATTTGTCAAGTAATGTATCAGCTTATACTCCTACGAGATCTCTGAGGTCCGAAAATCAACACCTCCTTTGTGTTACTAGGACCGAATACAAACACAGGGAAGATGGAGCCTTTTCACGAGCCGGTCCAAAACTGTGGAATGACCTCCCTCGTACTATTAGGTCTGTCAACTCGCTACCGGTTTTCAAAGCTATGTTCTATGTCAAAACACAAAGCTATGTCAAAGCACATCTTTTAAAGGGGTCATATGATGTTGCTAAAAAGAGCATTATTTTGTGTATTTGGTGTAATGAAATGTGTTTATGCGGTTTAAAGTAAAAAAAACACATTATTTTCCACATACTGTACATTATTGTTTCTCCTCTATGCCCCGCCTTTCTGAAACGTGTTGATTTTTACAAAGCTCATCGGTCTGAAAAGCGAGGTGTGCTGTGATTGGCCAGCTATCCAGTGCGTTGTGATTGGCCGAATACCTCAAGCGTG